GAATATTAAAAAGGGAATAAGAGCAATCTAAAGTTTGATAAAGCCATTTGATTGCAAGACAGTAACAGAACTCCCAAGTGTGTGTGTGGGATTCCAGAAACCAACTAGTGAAAGAATAGTGGAAAAGATTATTTGGTCAATTCTCAAGCATTTTCATTTAAACCATGGATGAGACCTCTGAAGTGCACAATGTTAAACTACGAGTGGGTTCCACAAGCAAACAGCCTACAGAAGGAATGGAAGAAATATAAAGAAAATGAATGAAATGAATCACAAGATAAGGAACAAACAGTGAAGGAATTCTAGTGATCTCAACATCAACCATTGTGTACCTTACCTAGCTTACTATCTGAGGGGCACCATGACAAATGGCAATATAAGAGGAACATAAAAAGAAAAAATTAAATCACAGACTTATGAGACACCAAAGATAAGAAATAAGAGGACTTACAAAAGTAAAAAAGCAACAAAGCAGTTTTAAAATCCAAAGGGACAATTTAAAGATTAAAACTTCTTTTAGTTTAGTTATGCTTTACTTCTCATTAAACAGTGATTCTGATAGACTCAAAAGATGAGATGTCAGTAATATCAGGGGTGTGTGAGTGTGTGTGAGTGTGTGTGTGTGTGTGTGTGTGTGTGTGTGTGGTGTGTTACAAAGACAATAGGAGGCTTATTTGCATGCTTTTTGTTGGAGTGACTTCAGAATTTTTCCTCTCACTGGTGTAATGCTATTTAATGTAAGAATTTCACTGTAATTCTTAACCTGGTTGGCTGACTTCAAAACAGTAAGCACTTATTAATTATGGTCAAATTTTAACCTTAAAAAGAACAAGAATCTATTAATAAATTATAGAATATTACTTAGTATAGCCTAAATGAACCTAATGGTAACCAAAAACCTGCAAGAAAATTATGTAATTATGAAATCACTTTAAAAATTTCTTGAAATTAAAGTTAGCTAGACAAAAAACATATATCTTAAAAAAAAAAAACAAAAAAAAAACAATATACACCTTGAACCATTCAGGAATCATGCAATAGTGGACATATTTCTTCCATATAAAACTTAATAAAACTTTTAAGCATCATGTTAAATACACACTATACACACAAACACACCCTGATGCCACCATTCAGCCCAAGCAGCAAGGATAAAAGGAAATATCCTTAAAGACAATTATTATGACAAAAAAAAAAAAATACTGGATCAAAAACAAATATAATTAAACTAGATAAACTGACCAATCATTCATCATACCATGAATATGCAATCTTCATGAGCACTCGGTAACAAATGATTAGAGTTTATTCCTAACAGTCAGCAAAGTATTTTTAATAAAGTATAATAGGATAAAATAATGTGTATACCTATAGTCTATTTCCTTAATCATTCTAATTTTTAAAGATAATGGGGAAAAAATGAAAACTCTTAAACTCTCTCACCTGGAGATGACCAACACCATGTACTTACAAAATTTAGATCACTGGAGGAGGAACAAAATTCCTTTACTAATATACTAATGCTTTTAAAAATTAAAAGTTTAAAGTAGAGCTTCTCCACCTCAACATTACTGACATTTTAAGCTAGATAATTCTTTGTTATGGAAGGCTGTGCAGTGTATTACAGGATGATTTGCAGCATCCCTGCCCTCTACCCACTAGATGCCAGTATCACACCCTCCCCTCCTCTCCTATAGTTGGGACAACCAAAAATGTCTCCCAGTGTCCCCTGGGGTAGAGGTGCAGGGGTAGAGAGCAAAAGTTACCCAAGCTTGAGACTACAGGCTTCTCATAAATAAATAAAAATTCAAAATGAATGGGAAGATCCCAGGAGGTGGTGGATAGTTTGTTTCCCTTTTGCTCTTGATGTTCCAATATATTGTATTTGAATTTGATCACAGCATACATTTAAGAGATTCTGCCTTTTAGAAAACAAAGCATTTAATATCTATCATTTGTTAGCCAAAGTTCAGAAGAGTCCCAGAAGATTCACTGCACTGCCAATTCCTCCTCCAACCACACACTTACTCAAAGAAATACACACAGTATTGCCTAGTTGAACAAAAGAAAATGCACATATTACTTCATTTTCTTTTCTTACTTCATCAAATATATGGATCAGACCGTTCTAACTCCAAAGGAATTCTCAACATATTCAATGCAACTCAAATAGTACAACAATAGTTTCATCACGTTAGATAGGATAAAACCAAGAACTAGAGCAAGTAATAAACTCATCCTCATATTTTAACAAATTGTGGGGGAAATGTACAAATTAACCACAATGCTTTAAAAAATAAAAAAATAAAAAACAACTAAGTAGGTTTCTGTTGGGGGGGGGAGGAAGCTGAAGAAGAATGGAGAAAAAAAAAAGAATCAAAATCAAAGGGAATCTGTAGACATTTCTAGATGAGGGCAAAACTCAAAAATGTTTCCCCTGGAATGAAAGGAGGAAATTACACACTTGGCCATACCCTACAGGAATAGTCTGTATAATCAGTCTCCAGTGTGCATACCATGGAATGGAAACTGAAAAATAAAAATGCACAAAATACTAAAGAAAACTGTAAACACCCATCCTAAACACCTGAAATAAATTACTAATCTCCAGTTGATTGAAAATATTCAAATATCTGGAAACAAAAAACTGAAAATCTGAAAAAAAAATTTTAATTTACATAAAAATGGTCATCCTTGTGTCAGATTACAAATTACATAAAAAAATCAAATAGGAAAAGAAACATAATAACCCCTTTTAAAAGTGCATTTGATTCACAACAAAAGCTCTAAAAAAAGCAGACATTTTAAGTTCTAATAATCTTCATGCATAAATAAGGATTAAAGTCTTTAAGGTTTGTTCAATTACCTTCAATAGAATATTCAACTAGGAACATTTACTTAAAAAAAAACTATGCAACAATATATAATATCAGTTCAATGTAAGTAGAATATCTATATACTCTATAGCAACAAACTATTTCAAAATTTTAGCTATTAACCCTCCTGGCCCAGTGAAAATACTCCTACAAGAAACGAATGCTCAATTCTTTTTTCTTTTTTTTTTTTCCTCTCCCAAACCAAGCAGAAGAAGCTGTAAGATCTGTAGAGGCAGCCTGCTTTTCCAGAAGTAATACCTTGAGACTGCTCAAGAATAACCTCCTTCACCAATGAGTGCGACTCAGGTGAGCTGGGGAGGGGAATAATGTCCACTATTCTTTGGTCAGTGGCCATGATGCCCCTCCTCCTCAAGGGCAGGAGATCAGAAAGAGGGATTTGAACAAGAGGAGTTCACCAGCCAGAGCATATAGGAGCAGGGGAGAAAGAGTACTTCAGGAAAAATAAAACCCTCATGGTTAAGTCATGTCACAAAAGCCAGGGGTTTAATGTTATCAAGGTATTCGTTCCTTTTAGAGGCACCATTGTTTATCTTCCTCTCCAAACGTGCACAAAAAGAACTGTCAGCCTGCCTTAAGCATGCACCTTCTTCCATCTAAACAGACATGATTCTTTTGGTTAATCTCTGGCAATGATCGCCATTTCACAACACATTCAGCCCACCCGGAACTGATCAATACCACTACAGACATAAGACTAGACTTTATCCATTTATTAACCACAAGGAAATGTACCATTCAGCAAAATTCTATACATTACAAAAGATTCTATTAAAAAGGGGGTGGGGAGGATGGACCACACACACACACACACACACACACACACACACACACACACCCCAACCACAGAGGTACACAAAGAAAGGACTACCACCCTCTAATTTCCCTGAGGCAAATGAGATAAAGACGTGGCCATAAAACCTGTCAGTTCCAACCCCCCACCCCCACCCCATAATTCTATCTCACAACCTAGCAACTGATTTTTTTTTTTAAATTTTACGATAAACAAATCCACTGCGACTTTAAAATTGTTCATCTATGCAACTAACTCTGGTTATGTACATTTGCACACCTCTGGGCTAGATGACACATTTACAGAATTTCAAATACAAAAGCCTAGCTAGTTTTCCAACCACTGGTTGCAACCACAGAATGTTCTCACAAAAAGAATAAATAAATAAATAAGTCAACATTTCAAATGCAAAAAAGGGGCCAGATTCTTCTTCCAACCTGGAGCCAAAACCCACTTTATGAGTACACTGCATTTTTGACAGTATGAACAATTTCAAATGGGCTTATTCTAACCCGAAAACAATGCCTCAATACAACGCGTTTGAAATAAGTATTCCGTAGGTAAGCAAAATCCTCTGCCAGAACAGAGCACATAAATGGTGGTGGAGAGCCAGCACATTACCAAGCCAGCGGCATACCTCCCCTGCACGGGGTTAGAGTTAATACCCCAACAACCACCACAACTATTTTTAACACGGCTGGACGCTGGAGTTGAAGGGGAGAGAGACCCGATGAAACTGCCGATATACGATCCATTGTTTCTCACGGTCCAAATTAAGTAGCCCAACTGACTCTCGATCTCGGCCGAGATAGCCACCGGTGGAGCACTAATTTAAAAAAAAAGACGATTTAAAAAAAAATAAAAATACACCCTTAATTTTGGGGCATGCCACACACTCACAGGACACGTTAGAATCCGCCTCTCGGGTCTCCAACCTGTGCATCCTACAATGGTTACCTTGTGGGATTTGCGGCTTCATTGCAACCCCAGCCGGCGCTGTCACCCAGCGCGACGGCCACAAAAACCATGACTTTCTCACTTCCACAACAACAGGAGCCGCCAGCCTTATCGGCGAGCAGCCTCCCTGGGCACCGGGGACGTGCATGGAGGTTTCCAGATCCCAATCAGACCTGGGGGGGCGGCGGCCGAGGGGCTCGGGGATGTGTGTGCGTGTGTGTGTGCGCGTGTGTGTGTGTGTGTGTGTGTTTGCATGTGTGTGTGTGTCTGCGGGGGGAGGGTAGGCTCCCCGGCTGCAGCCGCCCTGCGGGCCGGCGAGCTCCGCTGCAGCCCTCCCGCCGCCGGCCGGCACCTACCTGAGGAGCAGGAGATGAGAAAGACGGCGAACGCCAACTTCGCAGCGGCCCCCATGTTCCCGAGGCGCCGGGGAAGCCGTCGTAGCAAGTTGTCGCTAGATATCCAGTTCCCTGCGTCTTCCTGGGAGACAAACCTCCTGGTGTAAAATCAACCGTCATAAAACATATTCGGAAGCCCCGATCCAAAAAAAAAAAAAAAAAAAAAAAAAAAAAAAAAAAACCGTTCACGGGTTTAAAAAAAAAAGGAGAGGAAAAAAAAAAAAAAGAAGGGGGGGAAAGCACAACAATAAAAAAAAAAAAAAAGAAATGCACCACGGGGGGGGGGGGAAAAACCGCCACACACACCCACAATACACAAAACCGAACCACGAGAAGCCAACAACAACAAAAGCGGGTTTAAATCACTGTCAAAATCACTGTCAGCGCCGCTCGCCTCGCGGGTCCCTCGGAACAAAACGCCAGGCTCAGGCGACGAGGCAGCGACGAGGCGGAGGCGGCGGCGGCGGCGGCGGCGGCGGCGTTCGCTGCCGCCCGGACAGTCCGGGAGCCGAGCTGAGTCCGACGTCCGGACCGACCTTCAACCCGGACACCCAAAGTCCGCGGACCACTGAGGGCCGAGCTCCGGCGGCGGCGGCGGCCCGGGAGGCGGCGGCGGCGGCGGCGGGGGACGGAGCGGCGGGCGGCGGGCGGCGGCGGCGGCGGTGCAGGCGGCGGCCAAGTTCTGGTCCAGGCGCTGGCTCCGGCTCCCGGCTCCGAGCTCGGCCGCGTTTTCGGTCCCCTGGCCTGGGCCGGCCCCGCCCCCTGGACTTCCGGTTCCGGTCCGGAGCTGGAAGGCAGGCTTGGTGGAGGAACGCTCCGCGGCGGCGGCGGCGGTGGCGGCTGCGGGGCGCTGCGCGCGTGCCGGGCCGGGAGCGCGAGGAGCTTGTGGGGCCGGCGCGGCGGGCGCGGGGGAGAAGTAGCGAGCGAGGGCGGGGCCGGGAGGACGCGGAGGCGGGGCCGGCGGAGGCGCGCCGCCGCCGGGCCTGGGCGTCCGGCCTGCTCGGCCGGCGGGGCTGCGGGCTCCTGGGGCGGGCCGAGGCGGAGGGGCGGCGGGCACACCTGGTGCGTTCACCGCGCCACCCCGGCCTTTGTGGAGCGCAATCGCCACTGCTCGGGGAGCCCAAGACGAACAGGACTTCGGGGCGAAGCGGGGAGCCGGCGACTCCTCCGGGAGGGGGGGCGTCTGCGGCGCCCCGTCTTTCCTCTGGGGGACGCCTGGTCCGCTCCGAGACTCCGGGCGCCGGGAAGCCGCGGGTGGGAGCCTGCCCGCTGCACCGAGCGAGCTGCCCGTTTGAGCTCGGCCTGGTGCGAGCTGATGCATTGGTGCTACCAGCCTCAGCGGTGCATCCCACCCCTGTGGCTTCTGCTTAAGCGCATTGTATTTAGGCTAAAAAGAAAAGAAAGTGCGGAGGATGCTGCCCACCCGATGAGAATATCCACGGTGTTCACGTTGTGCAATTTGAAAACGTGAATCCATTCCCACCATTCCTTTTAATGCACGAATCGTCATTGTGTGGAGAACGGTTGTGCATGTGATAGGTTAGCAAGTACCTGCAGGTTTTGATCGACCTATTTGAAGGTCAGACAATTGTTGACTTTTTTCAACTTTTTAGGGCCTGTTTTGAATCCCTTAATCTAAGTTGATTGCTGCTCTAGGCATGGAGTGATATATAAAAATGTGAAAATTGTATTCCTGCCTCAAGGAGCTCACAGTATTTGCTCTACTCGAATTTGTGTCTACCGAATACAAACTAAAGACAGTATATTTAGCAAGCTCCGTGAAGGTAGGATCTCATCTGTTTAGTATGTGATGGGTCATTAATAAATAATTTTGTAAATAGCTAGGGATTCAAAATAGCCTTTTCCAAAAATGCGATGTTTTCACTTGTGTTCTACGAATATTTGTTTTTATTAATAAAAATAATAATGCAACTGTATTATAAGGCTAATTCATGTTTTACTTGTGGCTTTCTGATTCCTACATTTTCCTCACAAAGTCAAGCCTTTTCCCTTGTATTTAAAGTGTTTTTCTCTTCCTTGAAATTGCTCTGTATTTCTATTAAATTCATCCTGTAATTATCTGCCCATTTCTACAGCTTGTCAAGGTTACAGCAATCATTTGTGGCACTTTAAACTCTCTCTGAGACTCCCAGTTCCCAAGTCATGGTACTCGGAATTTGATATTGTGCAACAGTTGAGAAAAGTCTAAAGTCGCTCTTCAAGGAATCTAAAAGATCTCATGTAGTTCTTTAGACTTTATGAGCTGTTCAAAGGAATAAATATAAACCATTTTCCATTCGCTGGTTGAATTAAGAGTTGCCACTAACATTTCTGGAATGGAAGAGTGTATTTTATTTAGAACTACCTTCACTTCATTCAGGAATTTGATGTCGGTTATACCCTGGATCAGGCCCCACTGTTGTCTTATCTCTGAATCACTTCAATATTTTTGAATTGTGAAACCAGAGCATGTGGAATAACTGGAATAACCAGAAATGTGACTAAAACTTGAAAACATAATCCTTATCTTACCACCCAAATTCCCCAGTATAAGAATGCAAGAGGAGATAAAAATTATTTTTCTGTAGTATGAAAGAGGAACAACTAACCAAAGTCTTCACTACGGTATTCTTCTCTAATAAAGAGTTAAAATAACCACATGGGAAATACTAGCATCCATTAACAGTAGTTATCTGTTTTGTTCCTAAATCTGTGTTCACCTTGCACTGTGCATTTTTCAAAAATTCAAAAATAACCTGTTAAGACTATTCCCTATGGGGAATTTCAAAACTTAAAAAGAGGTAGCTGCAACTGACCATGCTGCCCTTTTTGTAGAATCACTTTTTTTTTTTTTAATCTACAAGTCCAATGGTGCAAGCTGTACAAACCTGATTTAGGAAGAATGATGAGGAAAGGAAAATGAAACATGAAAGAATTCTGGTCTGCCAGAGCATTAGGCATGCGTTTTAACTTAGCTAACATCACTCAGTCCCAAAACTTGAGACTTACCCTAGTAGCTACTCCAATGCTAGAATTTCAAGTCCAGAGTCCCAGAAACAAGTTCCATTAAACTGCAAATTACTCCCAGCCTGAAGAATCTTGAGATGCAAGTTTGTGTTGGCTGGATGAGGAGACAGAGGTAAATAGGAGTCACAGATGGTTCCAGAATAAAGGATGATTTTTTATGCTAGAAACTCATGGCTCAAAAAGGTATGGATAGACTACAACTTTAAAGTAGGGCTAGAACTGAATTAGCCTTTGAGATTGCGTAGAATGGCATATATTGTGAGGAAATTTAAGGTATTCACCTGCCTTTGGACATAACAATAGACACCTATAAGCAACACATGCCAAATCTTTTTTCATCTTCAGGAAGATGTTAAAATCCCTGAGTATGAGGGATGTTGAATTCCTCCTCAATGAAGGACTTAAAAGTATTTCTGCTGTTTTTTAGCTACTGTAAAAATCTTTTGGTTTCAGATAAAATAGGCATTCTGGAAGTAGCACAGATAATGAATTTCTCGTATGCCAAGTAATGTAAGAGTGTCAAACTCGCGGCCCGCGGGCTGCTTGTGGCCCATAATGAATATTTTTGCAGCCCAGCCCAGCCAATATAATGTTTTAATAAAAAATTTGTAATTTAATTTTTACAATATCCTCTTTGTTATACATAACTCTAATAAAATAGTAACATGCAAATTGACTGTGCTTCCACTATGCCCATAACCAACACCCACCAGCCAATCAGTAGTAAATATGCAAATAAACCCAACCAAAATGGCTGCAGCCACAGAGAACAGGAGAGAGGCTTGGATTTCCCTGGCAATAGAGGAAGCCAAGCTTTCCGCCTGCCCTTGCTGGCTTAGGCCTCCACTAAAGGCTACAAAGTTTTATTATAGAAGATATATAAATCCCAACAGAAATGGCTGCTGCCACTGAGAAATCAGGAGGCTTGGCTCCCCTCCAGGCTACAAAGTTTCAGTTGTAGAAGGTAAATAAATCCCAGATACCAGGGCCTCCCCCTTGGGCTTCTGGGGGGTGTGACTGGCCTGCAAACCACCACAGGCCCTTTGCCCAGGTCGCCCCACACCCCAAGGGAACTTCCACCCTGATCTGGGACACCCTTCAGGGCAAACCAGTATGGCCATTCCTTTTTTTCTCTTTTTCCTTTTTTTTTCTTTCTTCTCCTCTTCCCTTCATTTATCATTATCTATCTACCTCATCTCCCTTTTTGTTTCTATTTCTAACATCTTTTCCTTTCTTGTTCTGTTGTTTGTTTTTTTGAGGCAGGCAAAAAGAAGAAAGGGCAAGTAGAAGATGAGTTTGTAAAACAGGACACTAGAGGGTGATGGCATTCCCAGCTGAGAGCTATTATTTCCTTGTAAAGCAAGATTTTAGCATAACGTGAAAGGGGCATGATGAAGAGGTATGAAATAGTCCTAACTGAGCTTGGAGAGAAAAGTATTGCCATAGAAGTGTAGGGATTGATCAATGATTTGAGAGGTTGGAGATCATGGCTTCAATCTGCCCATCTATGTGTGTGGTTATTTCCTGTAACACACAGGTGTTGGCAGGCACAGAGAAGACAGATGATTGTGTTCTTCCATGGTTGGATTTGTTAAGAGATTTTGAAGAGGAGAGGAATAAGGAAGTAATGGAAATTGTATGGGAGTTATTGGGATAATGAATGATAGAATGTCAGTTGGATAAGAAGAAAAGATAGTCTATAAGAGGCTCTTGTAGGTAAAAAGAAGAGTAATGAATTAGAAAGCTGACACATTAGAAGGACTCTTGCTTCCTGGAAGGTATTTATACAAGATACTAGTGGCCCAGTGCACAAAATTCATGCATGGTGGGGTAGGGGGGGTTCCCTCAGCCCAACCTGCACCCTTTCCAATCTGGAACCCCTCAGGGGATGTTTGACTGCTGGTTTAGGCCCGATCCTTTGGATAGGGCCTAAACTGTGGGTTGGACATTCCTCTCACAATCCTGGACCTCTAGCTCTTAATCACTCAG